CCTACCCTGCCCACAGCTCTGGCCTCCTATCTAACCACTCTCCACCCTCCTCTGTGCCAGTCGCCCTGGTCTCCTTGCTGTTCTTGGAACAGCCCAGACACACTCCTGACTCAGGGCCTTTGCACTTGCCATTCTTTCTGCCTAAAGCACTCTTTTTAAATATCTGCATGCTTATTCTTCACTTCATTCAGGCTTTTACTTCAAAGCTACCTTGTCAGTAAGGCCTTCACTGGCCACAATGTCTAAAGTTTCAATCACACACAAACACATTCACATACTACACTCCCTGCCTTCCACCCCTCCAGACTTCATTCTCTCTCCTTGGCATCTACCCCAAACAAACGATTGATCTTACTTAAGCTTGTCTCTCCCCACTAGTCTATCAGCTCCATGGACATAGATTTTTGTCTGTTGAGTTCACTGCTGTACCTCCAGTGCCTAGCACAATGATCATCTATTATATGCCAGATATTTTTTAGTCTTTATTTCTTACTAAAAACAAATGGCGTGGTATCATTTTGTAAAACAAAACAAAAGAGACTGTATCTGTATCTATATCTATCTATACACACACACACACACACACACAAATGTGTACACTGCTCCACATGAGGGGAGGGTGATAGGTGCCCCATGGAGTTGAGTGCAACGTAATGGCCCTATACACATACCAAAGAAAATGCATTAAAAACTATATGCTAAGGTTTTAAGAGTATTTCTGTCTTTGGCTGGGTCCTCTAGAGAAGCAAATCCAGTGAAGCCCATGTGAGAGAGAAAGAGAAAATTTATCTCAAGGAAATGGCTCACGTGGTTGTAGAGGCTGGCCAGGCCCAAGTCCATGGGTCAGACATCAGGCTGGAGGCTTCTCCTCACTCACACAGCTGCAGGAGTGACGAACCCAAGGTCAGAAGGTGAGATGGCAGGCTGCTGGCTCACAGGCTGTGAGGACAGCAGACCCAAAATCAACAGGCAATACGCAGGCTGCTGATTCAAGCCCACAGAACCAGACATCAGACGACGATGAACCAGCTGAGCTTCCAGATCGAGCAAAGAGCCAGTGAGCTTTGCCAGAATGTCCCTACACATTAGAAGGAGGACATATCCCTGAGGAAACTCCCTTTCAACTGATTGGCTGCTCCTAGCAGATCTCATTTTGGAAGTGATTACATTACATCAGACCTCACTAAGGGGAATGACTACACTATAACTACCAAACCACTGAGCACGGTCCAGTCAAGATGACACACAACCTTAACTATCACAACTCTTTGGGACGTGGGATTTCAAGTGATTTTAACTTTCCTCCATTTTATTACGCTGTATTTTGTGATTTTCTACACTGACTACAGACTGCTTTTATAGTAAGAAAAGAAATTTAAGGGGATTGAACCTTAAAATATATTGTTATAACTCTAAGTAATTATCATCATGGGAAAATAAACATAACTAGCCCCAGTGCTGTTGTGGTTTGTGAAAACAGAAGACCGGTCCTCGGATCATCTTACTCTTTAAAACCTCACCCCTCTTTCTTCCCCAGCCCTACCCCCAGGTGTTTACCTCTATAATCTCTGGCCCACATGCTTTATCCCCAAATGGTAAATTTAGTTCAATGGATCTCTCAGTGAAAAACAAGAGAAAGATCAACAAGATGCTTTGGATGCTCCTGGTACACAGTCACCAGGGTGCACCTCCAGTAGCCATGTGGATGGAATGGCTTGCACGTGGGCACATGAATTTGTCCTGAGCCCACTGGGTTCATCACTGGCCAAGCAGTTACTACCGTGCAAAATGATTGGGAAGTAACGGTGGCCAAAAACAGAGCAGCCCCTGCCCTGTAGAGCTTAGGGACTAGTGGGCAAATAGTCCATGACATTATCCCATGATGAAAGAATTACAAATTGTGCTAACTGCTGAGAAGGAAAAGTCCAAAGACCTGAGAGGTAATAAGGGTCACCTGATCTAGTTACTTTTTAACTCAGGCAAGGTGATTACAGACGTAATTAAGTGTTCTTGTCTTCTCCCTTAGTGATAGGAGGATCCTTGATGTGTACAAATATGCTGATCATTTTGCAAAGAACTTTTCATATGATTCACATATGATCCTTACACCATACCCTGAGTAACAGTTATGACACGCATTTTACAGAAGTAAAACTAAGGTGCAGAGACATTAAACAATTTCCTCAAGATCAGACAATTCACTGTAGCAGATCCAGAGATCAAACCCAGAGCTTAGATTTCATATATATATATATATATATATATATTTTTTTTTTTTACTGTATCATTTTTTTCTTTTCTTTTTTAAGATTCTGAAATACAGCATACTTTCTTTTCTTTTTTTTTTTTTAAATATATATATGATACTTAAAGAATGTTGGGGAAATAAATATGTACAGTTTGAAGAACAAAACCCATGTCCCCACCACCCAGACCAAGGAGCAAAGTTTAACACAGCCCTTAAGCCCCTATATACCTGTCCCCAGAAGTAACCACTATGTTAACTTTTGTGTTAATCATTCTGTCCTTTTTTTTTTCTTTTTGTTTTTTATAACTTAGGTATCTGTTAATGATATGCTATTAAATTTTGCCTTGTTTTGAGCTTTCTATAAATGGTATCTTAGTCCATGCATTCTTCAACTTGCTTCTGATTCCCAACATTTTATTGTTTGAGATTATCCATATTGATGATGCCTATAGCCTACATTCATTCACTTTTAGATAAATAATATCCTGTTATGTGATTATACCACAAGAGATTTATGCATGTCCCTGTTAACATACGTTTGGGTTGTTTCCAGTATTTTGATGTTACAGTCATTCTTGTACGTGTCTCCTGGGATATGTGCAAGAGTTTCACTAGGGCATTTCCTGTGAGTGGAATTCTGGGTGGTTGGATTTGTACGTGTTCAACTTCATTAGTTAATGCCAAACTCTTTCCCAAGATGATTGCACCAAGTTATACTCACATAAGCAATAACTTTTTTTTTTTTTTTAGAGACCAAATTCTCATTTTAAGGCTGGTAGAAATGGTACATGGTTACTTGGTTAATAGGATTATTTTTTCCCAGAAAACAATTATATATCCTTTCCAGTTTGTTGGCTAGCAAGGAGAGTATGGGCGAGAAGGACACAGGAAGAGGTAACTACAGGGAGGAAGTGGGAAGACAGCTGTCACATTGTGAGGAATTGCAGTCAATGTCACGAGACAAAATGTGTAGGAATTGTTGTAGGAAAACAAATTTTCTCTGTAAATTTTCACCCAAATCACAATAAAAATGAAAAAAATAATCCAAACATTAAAGGAATAAAAGGGTAATACAATGAAAAATTTCCTGTCCTCCACCCACCTCATTCCCCACCCATTCAGAAGCAACCACTAAAACTGCTTTCTGGTAATAACCCTTTGCAGAAATATGCTATGCACTTATTTTTTTTACCTTTTACAACAAACGTTAGTATTCTGTACATACTGTTCTGCTGGGTTTTTTTTGTTTTCCAGTGAATAAACATCACAGGCAGTGTAACTTGGTGACTAAGAATTTGGTCTCTGGAGAAGATTGCTTGGATTCGTATCCCAGCTCCACTCCAACCTAGCTGTGATCCTAAACAGCTCATGTGTATTCTCTGTGTCTCCTATTATCTGTAAAATGGAGGACAGGACCCTAACTCAAAAATTGTTGTAAGAATAAAATTAGTTAATATAAATAAGTATTTAAAACTGTGCCTATTAAAACCATTACTATTATCATAAATACAACTACATAAAAGTTTTTTTCATTTTTTCTTGCAGCTGCATGGTAGTCTCTATTATGTAAACAGATCACAATTTATTTTAATCATCACTGGGAGCTCTGGTAGCATAGTGGCTAAGACGCTTTCCTGCTAACCAGAGGGCTGGCGGTTCAAACCCACCAGCCACTCCTCGGAAGGAAGGTTGGGCAATCCTACTTCCGTAGTGATACTGCCTCGGAAACCCAAGGAGGGGTCACTATGAGTCGGGTTTGACTCGACGGCACATAACAACAACAACAACAACTGATAAACATGTGTTTCCAGTATGTTGATATTACAAACAACACAGCAGTACCTCGGCATGTATCATTTCCCACACTGGTGAACACGTGTCTAGGATAAAGACCTAGAATCAGGACTGTTGAGTCCAATGTATTATGTGCAGCTGTAATTACGATCCTGGCTAATTGCCCTTGCCGACACACCACAGGTTCTCATATGCATTACTTTAGAGAGCTATAGAAACTTTTTAATAAAAGAGACCTAGGGAAGCTACTCTCTGGTACAGATGAGTCAACCGATGGCCTGAAAGACAAAGGGATAACAGTGGCAGAAATGGCACCAAAAAGCATGCAGGTGGTTGTCCTAAAATTATTTAAAGTCTAATTTGGAATTTCATTATTTTGATGCTGCATTTTGCTTACCAAACGGTAGCAACGTAATTTCTAATTTCTCATTATTCTTTCCGATTTTTTCCATAGGCTGTTTTCCTACGCTAGATCGATCATGTGCGCTGTGGAGTGACCCTTGGACAACTCTGACCATCATATTTTGCCAACTGACCGACCAATCCTCCTTAGACTGGGAGAACACTGGACTTGGTGAACCGACTAGGTGAGCCGAGTGCCACCAGCCACTCCTAAGAAATCATTTAAATTACAAGGGAACGAACCACAGTACGTGACGTTATGCAATCGCGCACCAATTTTGCAAGCCCATAGATGATTTGTAATGTACCTTTTAGACTAAAGGAAGCCCACCTCCCGAGGCAGAAAGATCATTGGATGGCTCGGCTGTCAATCACGAGGGCAATAAATAGAGCTGGCAGGCGGGGCTTCCCACAGGAAAGCCAGGAAGGCGTAGGATGGTACGGCTCGTGCTGGTGAGAATCCGTGCGGGTAATATCTGACACTTCATATTAACTTGAGCAGAAAATAAAAGGGACCTCTCTTTTTATCTCACCCCTTCCCTGCGGGACAGCCGTGATGGCGGAAGCCGCGGCCCCGGGCGCCAGCGGAGAGGCGATGGCGGTGGTAGAGTGTTCTTCGGGCTCTGTGGGCTTGTCTCTGGGTCGCGGCTTCTCGAGCTACCGGCCTTTCGAACCCCAGGCGTTGGGCCTGAGCCCGAGCTGGCGTCTGACGGGCTTCTCCGGTATGAAGGGCTGAGGTTGCAAGGTCCCCCAGGAGACACTGCTCAAGCTCCTGGCGGGACTGTCGCGGCCGGACATGCGGCCCCAGCTGGGCCAGGGCCTGGTGGGAAGCCATGAGGAGGCAGCCGAGGAAGCCGGCCTCCCAGCCCAGGCAGGACCCAGCCCAACCTTTCCAGCCCTGGGCATTGGGCTGGACTCCTGTGTAATACCATTGAGGCACGGAGGTCTGTCACTGGTGCAGACCACGGATTTCTTTTACCCGCTCGTGGAAGATCCGTACATGATGGGGCGCATAGCTTGTGCCAATGTGCTGAGCGACCTCTACGCCATGGGCATTACTGAATGTGACAACATGTTGATGTTACTCAGTGTCAGCCAGAACATGACTGAGGAGGAACGCGAGAAAATAACCCCACTCATGATCAAAGGCTTCCGAGACGCTGCTGAGGAAGGCGGCACTGCAGTGACCGGTGGACAAACGGTGGTAAATCCTTGGATTATCATAGGTGGAGTTGCCACCGTGGTATGTCAACCAAATGAGTTCATAATGCCCGACAGTGCAGTCGTTGGAGATGTACTTGTGTTAACCAAACCCTTAGGAACCCAAGTTGCTGTCAATGCCCACCAGTGGCTGGATAATCCTGAAAGATGGAATAAGATCAAGATGGTGGTCTCCAGAGAAGAAGTAGAGCTGGCTTATCAGGGAGCTATGTTCAGTATGGCAACACTAAACAGAACAGCCGCTGGACTGATGCACACATTCAATGCCCACGCAGCCACAGACATCACAGGCTTTGGCATTCTGGGACACTCTCAGAACCTTGCCAAACAGCAAAGAAATGAGGTGTCCTTTGTCATTCATAATCTGCCCATCATTGCCAAGATGGCGGCCATCAGCAAGGCCAGTGGAAGATTTGGGCTCCTTCAAGGAACTTCAGCAGAAACCTCTGGAGGACTGCTCATTTGTCTGCCAAGAGAACAGGCTGCTCGCTTTTGTTCCGAGATCAAATCTTCCAAGTACGGAGAAGGTCATCAAGCTTGGATCGTCGGCATCGTGGAAAAGGGAAACCGGACAGCCCGGATCATTGACAAGCCTCGAGTTATTGAGGTCCTACCTCGGGGGGCCACTGCGACTGCTCTTGCTCCTGACAATTTCACTGCCTCCTCTGAGCCTACCTTATGAGACGGAATAGCGCAAGTTGCTTGGACCTTAGAGCCTCTGTACACAATCATAGATGATTCCCAAGAGTTGATTTTAAGAAGGAAAAATTCCCAAAGAAGGCTGCCTGCATAGTGGTTCCAGCTGCCCTTTCTAAATGGTTTGAATTGAGCTCATCCAAGGCTGTCTTTATGCACGTTGCAAGGCCAGAAGTAACATTTTGGGCTTTGGAGAGAGGTTGGTTCATCTCTTGGGTGGAATAGGGGCAGAATAATCTGTTTCCCCTTTTCCAAGAGCAAGATGAGGCTATTTAGTTTGAAGGCTTTTTCTTTGCACTGGGTTGATCATTTCTGCACAGGGAGTGAGATGATGAAAAGTAAATTATAAAAAAAGTCATTTGCAAAGTGAAAAAAAAATTTAGATTAGAAGCAAGTAAGTTTGGACCAATACTTTTGATAAAGTTAAATTGCTAAGAGAGATCTTATAATGCAATGTCAGATTCTTTATTAGATTTTCAGAAGTGGCCCTTTCCTGCTCTGGACAAGAATTGAGCAGCTTGTCCAATGACTGGGAAAGGAGGATCTGTAACCATCCAACTTGGTCTCTGTTAATGATGTTTCTCCCTCTAAACCCCATTAAGGACTGGGAGAGACAGAGCAAGCCTAGAGCCCAGGCCTTGGTGGTCATTAAGATGTTAAATCTTGTGTTGAAAATTAATTCCTGATGATTTGATCAGTAATTTCTAGCAAAAATAAATAAAACTGTTGAAACTTATTCTGGCTTGTGTTTGGTTTCTTAGAGCTCCGGATCTTCATATATACATATATACATATGTATATGTATGTGTGTGTGTGTGTATACACACACACATATACATATAGTCTTGTAAAATGAACCAGTTGATACATGTTGAATCTGGCAAATGCAGAGTGAGACTTTTCTGATCCTAGACCAGGGGATTTAACAGAGATTTAGGTTTGCATCTTCCTCCTGCAGTACTCAAAACAGGAAGGAGGTGGAAGAGGTTGAGGCAGACTAGAGGAAGCTAAAATATAAGTGCCTCGGAAGTGGGGAAATACCTTCAGGAAGCAAGGTGATAAGCTCTGAAGATAAGGAAGGTGAGGAGTGAGGGATAGAGAGAGAAAAATATACTGGTTGAACGTTTAGGGTAATTATATCTTTGAAGTCCCCACCCCACCCTGCCATACTTAGCCAGATGACTACATCTCCCCTGTGCAGATAAAGGGATGTTTCTATTATCTAGAAAATGTGAATTAAAAATGATTTCAAAGTCAGGGACAGCAGGCTCAGGGAGCCTGACTGAAAACAAAAATAAAAACTGAAAAAAGACTGCCCCAGTGCCCTTCCTCAGCTTAACTAAAAAACCACTGACACCAAGTCGATTGTGACTCATAGTGACCCCCATTGGGTTTTCAAGGCAGTGAATCTTTATGGAATTAGATTGCTTCATCTTCCTTCCACAGAGCAGCTGGTGGAGTTGAACCACCCACCATCTGGTTAACAGATGCCTTAGGCACTATGCCACCAGTGCACCTTCCTCAGTTTAGCTATTTAAAAAGATAAAAAAATTCTGGCTAAGAAGCTTATACCTACTTCTGCCTCATGCAGTAAAAGATTGGAGATAATGTGTCCAGAACTAAAAAGACATAAATCTGAAATTTAGGAGGGGCTCAGTGTAACTGCTCACTACCCGATCCTTCTACCCTATACGTGAAGACCCCAATTGAAAAGCCTCGCAAGCGCCTTAAGCTTTGAATGCTTCCTTATTCAATGCGAATAGCTAAGGATCCAACTAGAAGTTGGATGTTTCTAACCAAAAAAAACAGAAAAAAGCTCAGAGGAAAAACAATCAGGGAGTAGAAGAAAGCTTAAAAAATAAAAAGCTGTCATCCTACCAGGTAAATAATTATACCAGGGAGGTGCACTCCTTAGAACAATCAACCATGGGAGATCAGAAGGGCAGTTTTTGCTGCAGGGAGACAGCTCAGAGGACAGGAATGTATGGGAAAGAAAGACACAGGGAATTTGCAACCACAGGGAGGGAGTGGGAAGAGAGCTATTAACATTGTGGGTGTTGCAATTGATGTCATGAAACAATGTGAACCCGGATCACACACCACACCACACACACACAAGCTGTCGGTATCCTCAAAGAAGATAAAATAGCTATAAAAAGATAAAAGCACTAAAAACTATAAAACCATAGCTAAAATTTAAAAAAAAAATCAGTAAATTTAGATGATAAAGTTGAGGACATTTACCAGAAAGAACAAAAGAGATACACAGTAGAAGAAAAATGTGTCAAGGTCAGAGGCAAGCCAGGAACCCTTAAGAGGAGTTCCAGAAAGAGGAAATAAAGCAGAGAAGAATGGAAGTTACTAAGAAAGTTTTCTAAAACTTAAGTTGTAATTCTCATATACTTCTTGAATTCCCAATGTAGCCAATAAAAAAAGACCTACACTATGAAATTTCTAAATACCAAAAGAGATCGTGATAATAGTAAAAGCAAATGGTTAGACAGTGCTTACTCTTGTCAAAGGAGCTCTGGTGGCACAGTGGTTAAAGCATTCAGCTGCTAACCAAAAGGTCAGCGGTTTGATCCCATGAGCCACTGTGCAGGAGAAAGATGGGGCATTTGGCTTCCATAAAGATTTACAGCCTTGGGAACCCCAGGGGGCGGATCCACTCCATCCTCCAAAGGCACTGTTGAGTAACAGTCACTCCATGGTGGTGGGTTTGGTTTGGGCTGCACTGTTTTAAGTGCTTTATATGTATTAATTCATTTAATCCAACAGCCCAGTTTTGTAAATAAGGAAACTGAGGTGCAGGGAGATTAACAGATTTGTCCAAGGTCACACGAGCTCCAGAATCCATGTTTCTACCCATTGTTGTTGTTGCTGTTAGGTGCCATCAAGTCAGCTTCGACTCATAGCAACCCTGTGTACAACAGAAGGAAACTGCTTGGTCCTGTGCCAGCCTCACAGTCCTTGTAATACCTGAGCTCATCATTGCAGCCACTGTGTCAATCCATCCAATTGAGGGTCTTCCCCATTTTTTTCTGACCTTCCACTTTACCAAGCATGATATCCTTCTCCAGGGAATGGTCCCTTCTAACAACATGGCCAAAGTATGTGAGATGAAGTCTGGCCATTCTTGCCCCCAAGGAGCATTCAGGCTGCACGTCTTCCAGACAGATTGGTCAGTTCTTCTGGCACTCCATGGTACTTTTAGTATCTTTCGCCAACACCACAATTCAATAGCATCAACCCTTCTTCGGTCTTCCAAAGACCAAAGAAGGGTTGATGCTTCTTTTTCCTTCTAACCATTGTTGTTGTTGTTGTTGTTATGTGCCATCAAGTCAAACCCGACTCATAGCGACCCCTCCTTGGGTTTCCGAGGCAGTATCACTACGGAAGTAGGATTGCCCAACCTTCCTTCCGAGGAGTGGCTGGTGGGTTTGAACCGCCAGCCGTCTGGTTAGCAGACAGGTGTCTTAGCCACTATGCTACCAGAGCTCCCTTCTAACCATTAGACTATCCTAAAATCGTCCAGCGAGGCGGGGTGGGAATCCATACAAAGGTTTGTGGAAAAGAATGGTAAGTTCTGAGCAGCAAATTGGAAATCAAAAAAATAATGAGGAAATGCCTCCAAACTGCTGAGGGTAAATTATTTGTGGAATTTGATACTCAACCACATTTTTCAAACAAGTAGAATAAAGATATTTTTAGATATGCAAGGTAACACAATGGTTTCATCCCATGTACTCTTTCTCATGAAACTAATGAAAGTGGTGCTCCAGCAAAACAAGAAAGAGAAAAACATAAGATCCAGGAAACTGGTGGCCCTGCCCAAGAAAGAGGTGAAGAAAGGTCCAGGATAGCAGCTGTCTAAATAAAAACAAAAATCAAACTCACTGCCCTGAAGTCCAATCATAGTGACCCCTCCTTGGGTTTCCAAGGTGGTATCTCTGTAGAAGTAGATTGCCCAATCTTCTGAGGAGTGGCTGGTGGGTTTGAGCTGCCAGCCTTCTGGTTAGCAGTCCAATGCCTTAGGCACTACACCACCAGATCCCCTAGCTGTCTAGCAGGCCTAAAAGACAACCAGTTTATACTGGAGCAGAGGTCTAGCAGGCTTGGGGGGTGGGGTGGGAGAGGGAATCAATGAGTTGTGATATATTTAATTGTGTGGAAAAATGTATTGGAAGGTTAATGGCAGTTATAAAAAGAAGTAATGATGACTACAGGTATCCCCTGCTTTTTGAAAGTTTGCTTTACACCACTTTTACCAAAGAAAATAGGTACATTAATACGTATTTTCACTTACCAAAAGAAATACGAGGAGGATTTTTGCTCAAGCATTTGGCGTGTTTGTTTTGCAGCAAATCATTAAAAGAGACAGCATGCACCTGGAGCAGCCGAGTGGTGTCGCCAAGCTCCTTCCTGGTTTTGAGCCGTGTCTGTGAACACTATGTTGAGGTTTTATGTTACTTGGTGTGATTTGGTAGGTTATTTTTTGGGTCAGGATGCTCAAATTCTTTTCCATATAAATGAATGGTAATTGCTTCTCCACTTTAGGCCATTGCAGTTTACAAAAGTTTTCATAGGAATGCCCTACTTTCGGATAACAAGGAAAACCTGTATACAGAAAACTAGCAAAGGAAAATAAAATGAGGTAGTTATCAACTGCAACCAAAAACAAACCCTGTATAACAAATGAAATATAATCATCCATAGTTAATAATGTAAAGGGTACATTAATGACGTAAACAATAACAAGTAAATTCAACCAGTTTTCTTCCTGCTCAAAGCTCTTTTGGCTTTCCATAAAATCCCAACTCTTTCCCACAGCCTGTAAAACTGTATATTCCCACTCTTGCTACATATCTCTAACTTTATCTCATTGCACTCTTCCTATCCCTCTTACTAAACTCTAGCCCAATAGCTTTGCCATGATGTTTTAAGCAAATCAGATCCCTCCTGTCTGGAACCTCTCCTCAGGCTCCC